AAGAATTTCTATAGTTAAACTGTCCATACTGCCTAAAGCAATATATAGATTCAATGCAATTCCTATCAAACTACCAAGGGTATTTTTCACAGAAATAAGAAATATAATCCTAAAATTTATATGGAACCAAAAAAGACACCGAATAGCCACAGCAATCCTGAGAAATAAGAATAAAGTCGGGGTATCATGCTATCAGATATCAAAACATACTACAAGACTACAGTAATCAAAACAGTATGGTACTGGCATAAAAACAGGCACATAGATCAATGGAGCAGAATAAAGAGCCCAGAAATAAATCCATGCATATACGGACAGTTAGCCTACAACAATGGAAGCAAGAATTTACATTGGGGTAAAAATAGCCTATTTAATAAATGGTGCTAGGAAAATTGAACTGACGCATGCAAAGAAATGAAACTGGACCACCTCCTTACGCCATATACAAGAGCAAATTCAAAATGGATTAAAGACTTAAATGTAAGACCTGAAACCATAAAACTCCTAGAAGAAGATATAGGAAGTAAATTTGCAGACATTACCATGAGCAATATTTTTTTTAAAGATTTTTATTGGAGAATTGGGGGGATGGGAACAGTGCTGGGGAATTGGGGGAAGGGGAACAGACAAGTTGCTGTCATTTTCCTCTTCAGTGTAATTGTGGAGGACGTCACTTCACTGGCCCATGTTGGCACCATTATTGCGCTCTTCCCGGGCGAGGCAGATCAGTCGCCGGCTTCTGGACGGCCACTCACTGCGGCTGCTGGTCGCTCAGGCTGCCTGCTGGCTACATACGGTAGCCCATGGCAACCCACTGCCACAGGGGCTGCAGCCTATGCCGTCGCAGGCGACTCATGGCAGCCCAGCTCCAGGTTGAGCTGTTGTTCAGCATCTTAGCTGTGGAGGGCAGTGTCACTGGCCCTCATATGTGGGATCCGAACCGGGGCCCTCTGGTGTCCCATGCCAGTTCTTAACCATCGCGCCACTCGGCCGGCCCACCATGAGCAATATTTTTACCCTTACATCCTCACGGGAAAGGGAAGTAAAAGAAAAAATGAACATATGGGATTACATCAAACTTAAAAGTTTTTTCACAACAAAGAAAACCATCAATAAAACAAAAAGGAAGCTGACTGAATGGGAGAAGATATTTGTCAATGATATATCTGATAAGGAGTTAATATCCAAAATTTATAAAACACTCATTCAACTCAACACCAAAAAAAACCAAACAACCCAATTGAAAAATGGGCAGAGGATATGAAGAGACATTTCTCCAAAGAGGACATACAGATGGCCAACAGGCATATGAAAAAATGTTCACCTCACTAATCATTAGGGAAAAGCAAATAAAAACTACAATGATATACCACTTCACTCCCGTCAGAATAGCTATCATCAATAAATCAACAAACAACCAAGTGCTGGAGAGGTTGTGGGGAATAGGGAACCCTGGTGCACTGTTGGTGGGACTGCAGACTGGTGCAGACACTATGGAAATCAGTATGGAGGTACCTGAAAAAACTGGAAATGAAACTACCTTGTGACCCAGCAATTCCACTCTTAGGTATTTATTCAGAAAAACCCAAGACACTAATTTGAAAAAATATATGCACCCCTATGTTCATTGCAGTGTTATTTACAATAGCCAAGACTTGGAAACAATTGAAATGCCCATCAGTAGACAACTAGATTAAGAAACCATGGTACATTTACACAATGGAGTATTACTCAGCTATAAAGAAGAAGGAAATCATACCATTTGCAACAATATGGATAGACCTAGAGAACATTATGCTAAGTGAAATAAGTCAGTCAGAGAAAGACAAATATCATATGATCCCATTTACATGTGGAATCTAAAGGACTGAATAAATGAGCAATGTAAACAGAAATAGTCTCAGAGACACAGAGGAAAACCTGATGTTGCTAGATGGGATGGGGGTGGGGATGAAGGAGAAGGGGAAGGGACAAGACAATACAAATAGGTAACTACAGTATGGCCTCAGGGATAGAAAAGACAGTTTGAGGAATATAATCAATAATGGTTTAAATATTTTTTAGGGAGGCAGATGGACTCATATCTTGTTAGGGAGACCACTTCATGGATGGTGTAAATGCCTTCATAGATGGTGTAGAGGCCTGACCACTGCACTGTACATCTGAAGCTGCCGCTGAATAATATTATATGTCAACTATAATTTAATGCATATATAGTCATGGGATGTGGAGTATAGTGTGGGAATGGAGTCAATGGAATTGTAATAGATATGTATGATATCGGGGGTGAGGGCAGGCAGTGGATGGGGGAAAGGGGGTGGTCACTTTGTGAGGGGTAAAAAGGATAACTATTACATTGTTTTGTATGCCTGAAACTAGTAATAAAATAAATAAAATAAATAAAAATTAAAAGGTGTCTTTTAGTAGTTGCTCTCACATATGGAAAAAATGCTGGTCATTTTCTTTTCAAATGTCCATTCTTCTGTTGGGACTCCCCCCAGTGCCCTCACTCAGAAGTACTCAGGGGACTTCAAGCTTCTCCCATAAATCTCTTTATACCTATACTGTCTGCCTCACCTTTCATATTTTGTTTAATCAATTTACCTGTTTTTTTGTTTTGTTTTGTTTTTATCCCTGAACTAAAAATTTCCCAGCCCTTGCTGCAAATGTTACTTTTGTGTGGGAAATCTTCTAGGCAGTATCCATATAATTTTACTGCACAGAATTATGAGTTAATTGCATTGCTCAAACTCTACATACTAATCTTTTGTCAAAATAGCAAACCTAAAAATTCAATTAGTACAAAAAATCAAATTAAAAGCTTATGATACATGCTCACCATTCCATTGATGATGTATGTTCACTGTTAGGTTCTTCTTTTATGAAATTGAAAACTGTTTCTGGTTATCAATTTTCATCTTGCAAATTTTCAATATGATGAAAGTGAATAGTAGTAAATTTAATTACAAAATTTACCTTAAGCAGATAATGCTTTCTGCAGAATTGTATTGTTTTTAGGATTACTCTAGCCTACACACTTGGAAAATTAATGTTACACTAAAAATATCCCCCAGAAACAAAATATTTTGTTTGTCCCCATAGGTACTTGTTATGAATAAATTACAGTTTAATTTTGAAAATGCTTCCTCCTTAAGTGAATGCTAGATTTTTAGAAATTATCTAAGATTAAAAGTTAACTGAATAGACTTAGAGATTTAAATAACCCACAATCCTATCAATATCATAAAACTGGGTTCATGTGGTTATGTGTATGTATGTGTATATATATGTGTGTACGTGCAAACATTCTTTTTTTTTCCTATTTTAATGCTGCCTTTAACATTATGTTAAATGTTCCCCTTGTCTTAAATGATCTGTGGCAAGTTTCTGCCTTTTCATCGAACTCTCACTGAACTCCAGTGGAGAAGAAATTATCTAGGACAACTAGTATTCCAGTAATTCTGATCTGCTGGCATTTTGCACTATAAACAGAAAATCCAAAAAGATTTATGCTTTAAGAAAAACATTACCAAGACCCCTCCATCACACTTTCTTAAGAAGACTTGGAAGTAAGTCATTAGAAAGGAGTGAAATACAAAAGAATCATCAGAAAGCCATTTAAAATTTCCTTGCTTTTGCCGATAAAGTCTTTGTACATCTCATGAACGATTCTAATGTCATAATCAAAGCATTGATGCTGAGTGTTGGTATCAAGTCATTTGTAAAGTTGATATTTTAACCTTGACACTAGGTAGAAACAATTTAAGAATAATGTAGCTTGCCGATTTTAAATATATCAAAAAATAAAAAGAGGGCCGGCCGAGTAGCACATTGGTTGCGAGCTGGCTTGGGACGCCAGAACGCCCCGGTTCGGATCCCACATATGAGGGCCAGTGATACTGCCCTCCACAGCTAAGATACTGAACAACAGCTCAACCTGGAGCTGGGCTGCCTGAGTCACCGGCGACGGCATAGGCGGCAGCCCCTGCTGCAGTGGGTTGCCATGGGCTACCATGTGTAGCCAGCAGCCAGCGTGAGCAGCCAGAAGCCTGTGAGCGGCCGTCCAGAAGCCGGCAACCTATCTGCCTCGCCCGGGAAGAGCGCAATGATGGTGCCAACTTGGGACAGTGAAACAACGTCCTCCACAGCTAGGCTAAAGAACAAAACGACAGCAACTTGTCTGTTCCCCCTCCTCCAATTCCCCAGCGCTGTTCCCATCCCCAAATTCCCCAATAAAAAATTTAAAAAATCTTTAAAAAATAGATAAATAAAAAGATAAAAGGAAGGAAAGAAGAAAGGAAAGAAAGAGAAACTAGTAAAAGCTAAAGTGATAGATTTAGGATTCAAAATAAACTATAATTAGTGGGACTGTTCAAGGAAGATGTGTCATTAAGTAGTTATGGTTTAATAGTCCTAAATAACTAATTATATTAAAGAAAAAAGGAAATAAATAGATGGAAAAAGAAAATACAATAGAGAAATTAAAAATAAAATACCTGTACAACAAGATAAAGAATCAAAAGGGGAAAAAAAAGTGTATAGCATTTTACAGGGTCCTTACATTTTAAAGGTTATAATGAAAGTGGTTACAGCTTATTTTGTTCAAATCTACATTATCCTAGGATTATCTCACATAAATTTTTCATTCTAGGTTGGTTCTTCCAAGCATGAGGTCAATTTCTACCTAGCTTTCTTTTTTGGTGCCTATGATGTCATTTGGCAGCCAATTTTACAAAATTAAAATATTGTTTAATATTTGCCAAGCAAAATATAGTTAGAAGGGAAAATGAACTGGAGATTTTTGAACTAATAACATTATCAAATATATGTAAAAGTAGGAATTATCTACTCTGAAGTTTTTAACTTTACAGTTCCTCTCCATTAATATATAACTGAAAGCTACATTTCCATGTGATTAACATTCCAAAGCTTGTGGCAAATCAATATGTGTTTATGTATATTTTTTGATTGATATAAAATTTTCCTGAAATATGTCTTACCTCATTCTGAAGATCTCGGATCATTTTGCTCTTTCTTTCCACTTCAGTCTTTAAAAAATTAATCTGAAAATGAATAGAAAATTATGTAGACACATTTCAAATTCATTTTTGTTGCCTTCTATAAATTTATTTTCATAATTTTTGAAGGGGAATATCAACAAACACTGAAAAATAACAAAGGATTAAATTTTTTATTAACCAAACGTTTATTACCCAATTCCTACATATGTCGACTGGTTATATAAAAATATCCTTTTCTCATATAATAAATGATTCATTTTTTTAATTGAGGAACTATGCACATTATAGCTGTGAGTCTCTTATCTGTTTAAACCTCAATTTTTAAAAATGTGGTTCTTAAATACAAACAAACAAACAAAACCTAAATTCTAAGAATTGACTTAGGAATCTCTATTCCTAAAACATTCTCCAGGTAATTTTGATCTATGGTCAGGTTTCAAAGCAATTATACAGCAATATGCCTGACCTCAAAATCATGGAACATTATAAATACTGTACCAAAGAAGCCATGATGTTTTCTGTTGAGTATGTTAGTGTTGGGATTTGTAAACTTAGGCTAGATACTCAAACTGTATTTTCATAAGCATAGCATCATTATCTGTCTGAGTACTTTACAAAAAGTCAATATACCACCATAGCTAAAATTTGGGACTTCATACTCAAGGGTTCATTATGATAAAAACTAACTGTCTGAAGCTTTTAATTTTTCCAATTTTCAATATTTGGTAGTCACATTTTAAGAAGTAAAAGGACACAGGTGAAATTAATTTTACAAATATATTTTATTTAATGTGTTCAAAATATTATCATTTTGACATAAAATAGACTTTTAATGACATAACTGATGTTATTCTTTTGAAGTATGTCTTTAAAAGCCACTGTGTGTTTTACACTTACAGCACATCTCAGTTTGGACCAGCCATTTTTGAATGCTCAATAGCCTCACATATCTATTAGTTATGTATTGGACAACATAGAGGAACCCTGAAATTATACAAAATAGTCTGGCAATATGGTTATCTTGGAGATGTTTGCACTTATGGATCATATTGATATATTTCGTTAACATACTATTGAGTTTGTATGAGGTCTGACAATAAAGTTTGTGAACTTGTTGCAATAATGTTATCTTTTTTTTTTATAGTAGAGGGGTTATTCATTATGAATTTGTACCAACTGGACAAATAGTTAACCAAGTTGACTATTTAGAAGTACTGAAAAGACTACGTGAAAGAGTTACATGACCTGAAATTTTCACCAACAATTCATGGCTCTTGCATCACGACAATGCACCAGCTCACACGGCACTATATGTGAGGGAGTTTTTAGCCAATAAACAAATAACTGTATTGGAACACCCTCCCTACTCACCTGATCTGGCCCCCAATGACTTCTTTCTTTACCTGAAGATAAAGGGTATATTGAAAGGGAGATATTTTGATGACATTCAGAACATCAACGGTAATACGACGACAGCTCTGATAGCCATTCCAGAAAAAGAGTTCCAAAATTGCTTTGAAGGGTGGACTAGGCACTGGCATTGGCACATAGCTTCCCAAGGGGAGTACTTTGAAGGTGACTGTAGTGATATTCAGAAATGAGGTGTGTAGCACTTTTCCTAGGATGAGTTCAAGAACTTAATTGTGAGACCGCATATATTTAATATTTCCAACCAGCTTTTTTTTATGGTTTCTTGTTCTTTCTGTGTATTGTTAATACCTCCCTTATCTCCCTGGATGTATTTCAGATGTGTAGCCTAAGTTCTTAGTTCATCTATTTCAATAATTCTGCTTCAGAGTGCAAATGTTGTCTTTTTACTAGCTCCATATCTCATACCTCAGATATCATGTTATTTTAGCTCTTAGCTTATTTTCTCTTTGGGTTATTAGCCACTCCGGATGGTAATGTGTATAAGAAAAGAGCCAAAAAAATAAAAATGCAGCTGTCTTGGTGAGAAAAGGAAAGATCTCAGGCAGAGAACCTCAGAACCCCAGCACCAAGGTAGGGGTGGGGAGTGGTAAGGACACCGTCATTTTTTATTCCTGCAACTTCCTCCTTCAGGAGAGCTTTAGGCTGCACTGATGTCAGCGTGATAACAGGTGCCTGAGTTGTTGCTGCTGACTTCCAGGATGAAGGACAGGGAAGTGATACTCCAAAGGAAGAGTGGGGAAACGCAGGAAAGCGAATTTACAGATGCCTTCAGCCTGCCTGTCCTGCGTCCTCTGTGCCCTCCGCCCCAGCCCACAGCAACCGCTCCTCAACACACACTCCCTCATTCCTGAGAATCATCTCTCTTCCCAGGAATTACTCATGATTACATTTTTTTGTTTGTTTTTTTTTTCTTTTTTGGTTTCTCTCCTTTTTAAATCTATTCTCTAGTGCATATTTACCCCTAACTTCTATGGTTTCTCTAGAGTTGATTTTGGGGATAGGAGTTAGCAATGTCATCAGTTTATTGTCTGGAGAATAATTCACCAAATATGCATTTAATAAGTGCTTCTGATGCTCATGGGTGAAAAAAAATGGTTTATTCTAAGATTTCTAGTTCTTAGCAGGGGGCTAATAAGTATTGGCTAAATGGATGCATAAGCAATGAGCCTCTGATAAAATCATATTATTAATATCAAACCTTGCCACTCTACCTACATTTTGAATGAAAAATGTAGGAAGTCAAGGCCACCATCAAGGAAATAGATTAAAGTGAAAATTGCCAGAGCATATCAAACATAAGAAAGATATTTATATGTGTGTATGTGCATATGTACTGAATGTGATTAAAATACATTTCTATAACACACTATTCTAGTAGGTGTGGAAGACAGGTAGGGAGAAGAGAAAGTTGAAGGATACTGTTATCTCCTGCCAATAAAAAATTTGCAAAACAACTGAATATATAATTTATTTAAGGAGTTATCTAGGAAAGTTACTCCAAAGTAAATCTATTTGATATTTTGTTTGGGTGTGTTTGTTTTTGAATACATTATTATAAGCTACCAACATGTAAAATATTTGAAGAACAATGTTAATAATGATTTCATTCTGTTTGTTAACATCAGTTTTGTGTGTGTGTGTGTTATGAAGATAGACTATTGTCAGAAAACCTTGATTTTAATAGCTGATTTATAAAACTGTTCCCACTTTTCTTTTTTTCCCCTAGTGAATGCACACAGAAGTAATCATGGACAAGTGATAAAGTAACATGGTAAGCATGTGTTACTGTAATCGCATATCGGGTGATCCCACATACGAGGGCACTAATTTTGTGGAAGTCAGGAAGGGAACTCAAGAGATGAGTGGTCTGCTCTGTGGAGTATTTCAGAAATTTCTCATTAAATTGTCTGATATTCAGTGAAAGAATGGGCATTCATCTGTATAAGAAAAGGTGAGCAGTTTATTTCTTAGTTCTGAAGTTCCCTTCCCTGGGGTATGAATAAAAGGTCTAGAATGATCTTATCATAGATGATACAAAGTTTTTATCAGCCTCTATTCAGAATGTCACAGTGGATAATTCTCTTAAGGGGGCTGCGGCCACATAAGGGGAAGCTCCCATGGGAGACACAAGGCTTCCGACTTTAAAGCTGAAATGTACTCTCTCTATTCCTCATGCTCCTATCTCTCATCTCCTGTTATAGCTTCTCATGGCAAAGACTGATGACTAAGATAGTCCCTTCTCATTTACATGTTGGGCCAGCTCCAGGAAAACTTCCTTTGAAGTTGGTCATTAGGATTTTTTTTTTGCACCATGAACTGTCACTATAGTAATGTGTACATTTTCTAACATTGTCATGAGATGATTGAATGGGTGTATAATACGTGTACATTTGCTAACTTCACAAGAGGAGTGAGGCGCACCTTCTGGCATTACCTCACATCACCTAGTTACACCAAGATATTCATTTCAAATTGAAGGGTTATATAGTTTTTAATTTCCTAAAAAATTATAATGAAAGAAGAGAATCTTGAGCTGAAGCATACCATTCTCTCCCCTCCATATTTCTCTGTCTCTTTCTCTGTCCTTCCACATATAGATACACACACTGTCACACATACCAATACACCCATATATGTACATATCTCTTTACCTAGATAAACCTATCTGGTTTTCAAATTATTTTTAAAATGACAATGATAGCAAATAAAAAAGAACAAAAGTCAGGGCCAACTGAATAGCTCAGTTGATTTAAGAACTCGTTCAAGAGTGGAAGCTCTGAGCAACAGGGTCACCGGTTCGATTCCCGGCCCGAGCTGAGCTGCAGCTGAGCTGCCAAGAGGTGGCAGGATGGCTCAGCTAAAAAAAAAAAAAAAAAGGAACAAAAGCCAGCCTGCGGTTAATAAGAAAATGCAAACCAATGGTAAAAAAGCCACCTCAATAGTTGTTATTAGTAGCAGTGAGAATGAAGCGATGTTTAACCGTGATTGATCACTAATAGGTAAAATATCTGATTCCAACAAAAAAGGGGTTTTTAATTTTCTGGGAACTCCAGGTCAGTCTCCAACAATTTAAAGTCAGCTTTTAAAAACAGTTACTGGCAACTCATTACATAGCATAATTGTTTTGAAGAGCAATATAAATAGAATTAAGGACAAATATCATCCTAAATTATGGACAATGAGATACATATTATTTTAATCTTTCTTTTATCAGGTATTCATTCTTCTTTCATTCTTGATAACTCTTACTTTGATATTAATAGATATCAAAGGGCTTAAGTGGTTATAAAATTGAACAGTAATAGTGATGATAACTTATTGTGGATATTGTGATTTATAATAAGAAATTATATATCTCTCTCTATATATATATCTATATATAGACATATATCTATATCTATATCTATCTATCTATATCTATATCTATATCTATATCTATATCTATATATATAACTAAGTGGGGGGGAATACATCCGCCCCTTAGTTCCTGGATCACAGCTCCTAAAACCTTTGTAATTTCCTAAGTGTTTTGGATTGCACCTAAGTATGGGGGTGGGTTGCCAACCATGTGATTGTAGGTTTAGAACTTTCAGCCACGCTTCCCTGACTCCTGGGGAAGGGAGAGGGGCTGCAGCTTGAATTGTCAATGACCCATAGTTTAATCATTCATGCCTAAGGAATGAAGCCTCCATAAAATTCCAAAGGTGAGGGTTCACATGCAGATTGGGGAGAGTGACCCACTTGAGAGCATGGCAGCTCCACACCCTCTCCCCATACCTTGCCCTATGCAACTCTTCCATCCTACTGTCACTGAATTATATCCTTTTACAATAAACTGGTAAAGTAAAATCTTTGAGTTCTGTGAGCCACTCTATCAAATTAGTTGAAGGAGGTGTTTATTAGAACTTCCAATATGTAGCTGGTAGGTGAGACGCACAGGTGACAACCTGGGCCTGTGACTGATATCTGAAGTAGGGGGTGGGGGACAGTCTTGTAAGACTTGAATACAATTTTGAACTTGTTTACAATTGATTACACACTCTGTTCAACACTTTACATGCATCAGCTCATATAATCACCAAATAAACTGTCACATAAGTAACATTGACATGCTTTTTACAATAAAAGAGCCTCAGAGGTATAAAATAACTTTCTAATACTCAGCTAAGAAGTGGTGAAGATGAAATTGGGGGAAAAAAAAGACAGCAAAGAGGAATGATATTAATTTAGTGTTTACTACATGCTCTATATGATTTTAGGGAAAGTGTGTATGTTATTTTAATTTGAATCATCATCAAAATTCTGCAAAGAAGGAAATCTGCAGAAGTTAAAGAGCTTGCTCAACTTCACAGAGCTAGGAGATGGCCCACTAGGAATTTAAAACCAGAATAATCTTATTCCAGAGTACGTGCTAGGTGATGAATCCATGTAGGGAGTTTCTGATTTAGCAAGAGTATTTTGGGGTGGGAAAGGGAAACCCTTACTCAAGATTCATCGTTGAGCCTTAAGAAAGGCACAGCAAGCACACTCAGATGAGGACAAATGCTCAAAGGGTGACTCGGCCCGTCCTGCCCCCTGCCTCCTCCAAACTATGCATCCTTTGTCCATGACCTTTCCCTAACTGAGATGCTCTAACTTTGTCCGTGCTCTTTCAAAAGTCACAGCTTTCTTCTTTTTGGATCTTAGACATAGTCTGCGTAACATACTGGAATAATCATGGGTTCATGCTTTGGCTCCTCCAACTATTAGCTGAGTACATACAAGTAAGAAACTTACCTTTTCTGAGTTATTCATTTTCAGTTAAAAAAAAACGTGTGTAGTTTATTGTGAGGATCCTAGATAATAGTATATATGAGCACATCTGTTCTGCTCTAACTGCCATCATTTGTGACAAGGCTATGAAGAAACCCAGGTTAACTGTGATGGGTCAAGACAGAAAGAGGGGACCAGTTGCTGAGGAGAGAGATCAGCATGCTGATGCTGTAAGTGTGTCCGTGGTTTTATGTAACATCTGATGTCTGGAGAGCCAGACACTGGGATTCCTTGCAGGTGAGGAGTGAGTGTTGCCATGGTGCAGCAGAGAGGAACCAACACACTTGTCCTTATAAGAGGACAGAACAGATCATAGTGAATCCATTAACAAGAAACAATCCTGTACCCAAGGAAGTCAGCAATCGTTATCAGAAAGCCTGTCTTCAGGAAGCAGGTGGCCCAGAAGGCAGACAGGTCTGAACTTCAGAAGCAAAACTCCACACCCTCATCCAGTTATTCAAGGAAGCCTTGCAAAGAAAGGCAGGCTGACAGTGCTTAGAGGGGCTGGGATCCCAGGTTATTGATGGCGACTGTATTAATTATGCTTCTAGCATTTGCAAACTTGATGCTTTAACATCTACCCTGCACATATATGTGGGCAAGCCTTGTTAATGGACAACCCAATCATATGCTTGAGTCATCCTACCTTAACTTCCTGCCGCCTCCATTGCTCACCCTCCCCAATGCCCCCCAAAGAGTTTCTGGTGGTATGCTTTTCACATACACACTAAACAATACAGAGCCTACAACTTTAGCCACCCCTTGTGTCAGGTTTTCACGCCCCATGCCACCGTGCCCCTGCCCTAATCACCCCAGGGCCAGGTAGGTACCAGACAACCAGGGGTGGTCTCTGTGCCCCAGAGACCACTGAAATCATTTAAACTGGCCAATCTGAAGACCCCTGCCCCTGCCCCACCCACTCCTTCACACAGGGACCACAATAAAGGCTCGTGTCCACAGTTCCCCTGCCTCCTCTGCCTCATGGCCAGCCAGGTGCTTCTTGTGTGATCCCTGCCACACAGACGCCACTCCTGAGAACTGTGACAAACTATCATTTCAGTAGCGGTTTCCTGATCTGTTGGGCTTACCATACCTCAATTTTCTATCCATATACTATATTTTAGAACAGATTCAGGTTCTAGAAACTAGGTAAAAGGTCCAATCCCCATTTAGTGCATAAGGTGAGTCTGGAGAATACTGTACAAATCTAGTTTTCAGCACTGCTGTCAAGATCACCATCCCCCCCCCCCCCCCCGCCTATGATAAGTATCAGTTATAAGAACTGAAATGTGGGGTCAAGAGTACATCATTTGAAAGAGAAATTCTGGAGAGAATTTTGATTCTTAAACTTTGGGGCTCATCAGAATCACCCGTGGAGTTAACTAAATAGGCAGTTGATGGGGTCCCACTTGACAGGCTTTTATTTAGTGAATGTATCATGTGGATGAGGGGACCGTACAGCTTGACTTAGCTCAAGGTCAGTACTCCCCACAATTCAAGAGCCATTCATATGGGGCCTGACACTAGGACTCCTGCTCTACTGTTGCCCTCCGCTTTTTCTCCTTCAATGAGGGTTGGGAATTTACAAGACCCCTAAGAATCGAACACAACAAAAACATTCTTTTGGAATGAATGCTGACCACGTTATTTTTATGATCTTGGTGACTGCACTTTCTTTATTGTATTTTCATTTTTAGGTTTTTACATATGTGTTTGTTCCATAGTGATTTTCGAAGACAAAAATAAATAAAATAACAACTTCCCAACCCCGAAGCAAAAGACGCAAAAAAGAAACGCACTTACAGTAGCCTGTTGTTTTTCGGCTTTCTCAGATGTCTCTTTAAGTTGATTTTGCAGGGCCTCCTGGAGAGACTTCATTTGTTCTCTGGTAGAAAATAGAGAGCAAAAGGGAGACATAATATAATTCTGTTATTTCCGATGCACATTATGAAAGGAGGCTTTGTTGTCTACGTACATTTGGGAAATGGATAAGTAAAATTGAATAGAGAGACAGTTAAGCATACAGGGTGTATGTCAGGATTCTGGTAATAAAGGGTTTTCTCTCCCAGGCAAGTACTAAAAGCAAGCTGTATTTAAAGGAAATTGCCTTGCTATTGTGTCTTATGAGAATCCCACGGTGCGAATCATCTGTGAGCTGCATAATGTGTCAAATCAAATCAATAGAATAATTAGAGTTGAAAAGCTAATTTTAGTGACAGCATGCGAGGGTGTGAACACGCTGGCTAGAAAAAAGTTACCCTAGACTGCTGATAGGATAAAATTACAGCTCCTCCTGATGCTCCTAATTGATTCATTCAAAAGTACTGTGCTTTAGACATCCTTCATAAAGCCTGAGACATTTTATGGAGAGAAAAGAGGCTCATTTCTGCCTTGAGGGGTACCTCATTTATTGGGGGTAATGAAAGAAATACTCATCTGCACTTATATATACATATTATGTCTCAAGCTCACAAATTCATATGGACCCTGTCCACTTGTTAAAAATATATCTCTACACATATGTATTTTTTCAAGGGTTTGGAATGCCCTCGTTTATGACAGATCATATCATCTTCCTGTGACTTAATTTTTATCACCTAAGCTATCATTTCCAAAAGCTCAGATATCAGATAAAGGTGAGTGTATCAGTCAGTGTGTGTATATGTGTGTCAATTCTGGCCAGAGGAATAATCTCCTTCAAAGTAACAGCAAGCACTAAACAGGAACTTTTCTAGTCTTATCAGTTCCCAAACTAATTTAAAATTCCCAATCTAGTGCCAAAAGACTACCTCTGGGACAACAATATAGAGACTACCGAATAAGACAGCACTCTCTCAGACTGTTTTTTTAGTCTATAAAATGGGCACAATGATAGAACTACCTCATAGGTGTGTAGTGATGTTTAGATGACATAAAGCAAGCATAATGCTTAGCATAATTCCTGAAAAGTAATCACTTTTATGAGCTTATTGTCACCACCATTGGTACCACTCTAGGTCCCTAAATTCATTCTTTGATCACCACATTCTGCCCAAACACAAGCTGTCCTTTCATCCAATGGGAGTTAGGGACATCCCCAGATTTCATACTCTAGAAACTCTTAGGTCCCGATTTCAATTTCAGGAATATCAATGGGCGTCTGCATGATTGTTTAAATCAATTTGGGCTTTGCCAAAGCAAAATATAATTGAAACAAGTTATAAACTAATTACAGTCACTTTGGATGTTAGATGATTTATGCTTGCTTGGGCGAAGCGTATAACATGCTTTTGCTTAAAGTGGATTTGACGTCTCAGCTTCTGTTCCTTCCTCAGACAGGTTTCACTTATCAGAACTGTTTCATATATGGAAAGTTTAGAATGTGGACTTCTATTATTGTTTCTGATTTTTTCCACACAGAGCATTTGTGGCATAATATATAATATATAATATAACAATTATAATATTAGTATAATATATACATATACATATATTGTAGGCTTACAATGTACTAGGCACTCTTATAAGTTTCACATCAAATTATGGTACCATATTAAATATATTAAACTGATGCATAGAGAGGTGGTGGGATTGTGTTCTGAAGCCTATGTGTTCAAACTTAAAGAGTTATCATATCACCTCTGTGCCACAGAGAAAGAGAGAAAAGAAGGCTCTACATGCTATCCCTAGCCCTCAACTCTTCAACAAGCACTGAATGAAAACACGAACTATCAGATTGCCAACTGATAAAAAATCATACAGTAAAATGTTATTAATAATCATGTAATATTTTGGGGGGATTTTAAATTTTCTTTTTTTTAAATGATGATACATCTACATCTTAATTAAATTATAAAATATTATAGATCTTATAAAAATGAGCATATGTACATATTTAAAAAGTCCCACCTACTGACATCTATAGGTCATGTAGGGAAAAAGACAAAAATAAACTGTAAAAGCCGTTAACCAAAACGGGGGAAGGTAGAGAATTCTGTAGATTTTCTCCGTGCTAGAAAAGCTATGACAGGATGGCAAAGTGGGCCTTTTGAATCTTCTGAATGTCTCCATCTCCTTTGCTGCATGTGGCCCCAAATTTCCACCTCAGAGACTTGCTAAGTTTGACTCCTATGGTAGATGAATCCTGACTTGCTCATGGTCTCTCCCCCACCACCAACTGCAATTTGCCCCAACTATGTCTAGCTACCCCAGGGCCCTATTTGGTATTGAACTGAGCTTAATGCTAAAGAACGCATGGCTCCAGGGATACCTGTGACAGGTCATTCAGATATTAACTACATTTTAGCATGTAACGTCATGGTTACAGGGGTTTTAAAGGGCAGCTGTTTTGAACATCTTTCATCCCAAATTATAAACATAAACACACACACACACAAATCACTCCACAGGGAGGCACAGTTTTCTTCAAGTGGTTTCCAGCTTGTACCGTAATAACATCACATGGAGAACTTACCCCTTACCCCAACCATTCTTTTCATTTTTAGAGAACGTTATATTGTAAAATCTTTTAGTATACAGAGTCCCAAACTGCCTTCTAGTAATCTGCTCCCACCAACCACCATAGAGAATATTTGTTTTATTACCGTTTTCTCAAGATAGACTTCCAGGCACTTCAGGATACTCCTCTATCCCCCAGAATCTCTACGGTGTGGTTACATTCTCTCACTTCTCACATAGTTAAGTTTAAAAGTCTCTCCATCAGCCTGATGACTCCCCTATGAATATTATCTAGGCTGTTTTAACATTTCTGAAAATGTAACTCAAAACGCTCCCTCTCTCTCTCCCTCTCTCTCTCCCTCTCTCTCTCTCCCTCCCTCCCTCCCTCCCTCTCTCTCTC